ATGAACAATAAAGATGGAGTATTTGCCTTTGTAGAACTTATGACGCTAAGATTTTGAAACAGACCTACTTCAATTCTTGAGGAAGTTATTGCTTTTGTAATATTTATATAAGCAAGGTTTCTCAGGTCACTGGCTGTTAAATAAACCTAGTTAAAAAAGAGTAATGCATGTTAAAGATTTAAGAATTCCTTACCTCACACTCTGCATTAACTTTCATTCTTTTCCAATATTTCCTCTTGCTAAGAAGTTTCAGGTTCTCAACTGTAGCATAATATAAGAATGATTATTATATAATATTTTTTAATCTGCTTCAGATAGCTTTGGAGCCAAAGATCCTTATCTCCTCTGTTCCAAATTTATATAATACTTCTATCTTCCTCATTGAGATTATAAGAAATGATGTAAGTCTATGTATGTGAGACTTGCATAATAATAAAAGAAGAACAATATGAACTTAGGATATTGTCAGAATAATAGTCATTTGCTTGGATTAATTATATATTAATGATGTTTGGTGGTTAATGATACAGTATGATTGCTTTAGACCACAAGTTTTACCTCTGCTATTGAGCCTAGATATTATTTAGCACATCATGAAATCCAGGTTCAGAAAATGTGGTTGTTTGGACTAATCAGTTGATAAGTGAGTAGGAATTAAAGGTTGATATTCCATCTTATATTTTAGTTTAATTTTTATTATCTTGTGCTATTATTTGATAGACTTAACCTATGACTGTCTTAGAAAAATCATTTTAGTTATGTAAGTAATACAGTCTCCTGGGAAATTCTTAGAATATTTCACCTAAGGTTAAATTCCAATTTGATCACCAAGCCAATCACACAAGAGCATCTTTTTTCAGAAAGTGAACAAATTTCAAACAGTCGAGTATCTTTTTGGATTAGGTGGGTTAAAAAGTAACAGAAAAGCCCAGAATAACAGTGGCTGAAACCAAATATAAATTCTTTTCAGTCTCATATTCACACATTCCAGCTGGTGTTACTCACGGCTGTGTGGGTATTCTAAAACATCAGGGACCCTGCCCCTCTTTATTTCTCCATAATAGTGGCCTCCAACTTATGGCCAAGATGGCAGTTGGAGTTTCAGTCATTATATTGCATTCTAGCTACAAGAAAAAAAGTACTCCTCCCTACTTTAAGTATACTCTTAGAAGTCACAAGTCATTTTCACTTGACTCTTAATGTACAAAAGTTAGTGACATGAACATAATTAGCTGCAAAGAGACTAAGAAATGTGGTCTTTATTCCAGGCTGCTACATGCCCAAGTGAAAACTGGGGCTTTCATTGTTATGGAAGAAGGGGGAACAGTGTCTGCCATAGTAAGTGTCCAGGGACAGTAAGAATTCTATTGCCTATTACTTTATTTTCTTGTCCAGCCCAGATATCTGCTGAAAACCTCGGCCATTATCAAGAGAGTCATGCTTAACAAAATATTAGGAGTCCCATCCTTACTAGTGAATGATGCCTAAAAATCTATTCTTCTGGCATTTTATATCTGATATATCAGGGATAATTTTGATTTTCCTTGGAACTTTCATAAACATCCACTTCAAGGAATAGTTATAACAATAGCAATAAAACAGTAAGTTGCAAAATATGTAATAAAATGAACAACTGACCACATACTATATATATTTTTATGCATATACAAATATATAGATATATTATAGACATATATCTATATATAATTTTAAAAACCTTGAAGGCTATAGGCAAAACTGATAGTGATCATTACCTTTTGTGCTGTGGGATCAGGGTTGATGATCAAATTGGACTTTATCTGTAAAGTTCTAAAAATTTGCAGCAAAATAAGGTATGTTTGGGAAGGTAGCAGGAGTAGAAAGTAGACATATTTTGTGGAAACTCTTAGGAATTCTCTAGTACCCTAACTGTATAGCCATTGTATCAATTACAGGTTTTTATTGTGAGCAATAGAAACCAATTCTAATGAACAAAATCAAAAAGGGAATTGGAAGAGCACTGATTATCATAGATTCAAAGACAAAGTTGAAGAAGACTATGTAGTAGGAAGTAAGGGTAGCCACTATAAATCCAGCTACCTTTCATTCTTGTGTCTCTGTTAAAGATTTACGTCCTCATGAGGTGAAATGACATTGGCAAACCTTGAGGTGTATTCATTAGCTGAGGTTTGGGAGGTTAGAGTTGTAAGTAAGTGGATACCTTGATTCTACAAAGACAAAGAGCATAGAAAAGACTGTTGCCCAAGTAAAAGTTAGGCTTGTGTTGACAGTAAAAAGGGAGAAACAATATTACGAGGCAAAAGCAATAGATGTCTACAACTATCACAGAAGACGAAATCTATTAATTTTTCCTTGCTTTAGCTGTAATTTTTAGGACGCTCTGTGGGTATGTAGGGGAAGGTTCGGTTTTGAAGCTAGAATTAGTGATTTTAATTCTCAAAAGAGCATTTACTCAGTTACACTACAGTGAATCAAGTTAACAAATCTTCTGTACTATCAAGATTTGCTCAGGAATTGTTTTCTTTACTGCTTTTATTTTCTGAGCAATCTAATCTCAACCTTTGTTGGTTATGCTATAGGAAGCCATGAGTGTCTGAGCTACTGTTCACAAATATTTACTACAAATCCCTAGAAAGGATTGTATTTTCTCACACCATTGATTTCAAGGTTGTGCATAGCACTTGCTTTGGCCAAGAAAATATGAGTAGAAGTTATATGTGTTACTTTAAAGCAGAAGCTTTAAGAGACATTGTGTGGCTATGTTCTCTCCTCTGCACAATAACCGAAGATGGTTCAGATAGAAGATGTTTCATCAGTGTCTCAGTCCCCCAAGATGAAGAGCCACAGTAAACCTGCTATTTATGCATATTATTATTGAGAAGTAATCTCTTGCAACTGTAAACCACTGAGATTTGGGCTATTGGTTACTATAGTATAACTTAACCACTGCTGATTTATGTACTTGTAAAATGAATTCTCTGTTCAAATTTCACAGAGAATTTCCAACAAACTGTGGTTTTTAAAACAGACCATAAGCAGGAAATTAGGTAGACACTGAATAAGTGAATATTAGTAGTAGTAGAAATAGCAGTAGTAGTAGAATAGCAGTAGAAAACATGTAGATTTTTCTAAACAAGCAACTGATAAAATTACTTTTCTGTTTGAGACATTTAATATTAAAGTAGTACATAGTATATATAACATGGAACACTCACTTTTGGACAGAACGGTGCACTAAAGAAATTCTCAAATATCTGATTATCTCCTTTTGTGCTAATTAGTAATTATTTTGCATGTAAATTTAGGTTTTTTATTATTAAGTGATATATATTTTATATCTATATTATATATGTAATATAGATATTTTATATATATATGACAAGCTGAGGAACATAAAGCTAGAAAAGCAAAAGCAGATAAGTTATGATCAATTTAAAGAGCTACATTTCTAGATCAATAACATAAACAGTAGGTTGCAATGATTTAACCTAGTAGTAATTGCTCCTTAACTCTTCGCAAAAAACAATCACTAGGTGTATTTTCTCTCTTAAATATTTCCCAAATCTATCCTTTCCTTCCTATCCTTACCATCACTTCTTTAAATCAGATATTCATCATCTCTTTCTAAAGGTTTGTGATAGTCCCTTAATTAATCCCTGCAGTGTTGCTCTCCTCCAGGTTACCTTTTTCAAAGTTCCTGAATACTGTTTCTAAAACACAGATTTGATTATCTGATTTCCTTGCATTAGACCGTTTTGGTTCAACACTTTCTGGTACAACGGCAAGGTCCAACCTCCTTAAGTAGCACACAAGCCTTCCCTGAAAGCGATTGTGAGAATGAGTTGTAAGACCAGACTCTACTATCTGGACTTACTAAATATTTATAACAATATGTTTATTAAAATATTAACTTCTATTAATATTAACTGGTTTCTCCCTCACTTCCTGTGTTTACTCTGTTTTGCCATTACCCGATTGCCTTGCGATTTTACATTTGTATTTCTTTATTCCTTTGTAGTTACTGATAACGCTCTCCTTCCGCCCCACAAACTGGTTAATACTACGTCAAGTTTTAACATTAAGTTCAAGAGTAATTGGTTTTAATTTTGAGATTAAGTGAATTTTCATTGAGTAAGACACTTGTTTTATGAACTCCTCTGATACTTGGTCTGTATCTCTGTTATTACAGTTATCACATGGTATGACATTATGTTTATGTATCTGTTTACCTCTATGAGACCATAGGCAACTTGAGAGCAGGAACTATGTCTTGTGCATGATTGTGCCCTGATACAGTTCCTGGTACATAGCAGACACATGATGAAAAAGTTTGTGTAATATGTAGGAAATTGCTGTATAAAGAAAAGATGATTATTTCACAAATCACTCTTGAACTCACTATTATGTGGTTCGGTTTTGTTTGATTGAGATCTTTGTGATACATTTCTTTTAAAATATATTTCCAGAGAATGTTATTTTTTGAATTCTTGATGCTTCCTTTCATCTAACAAAGATAAGTCAACCTAGTTTCCTTTCCTCCCTTGATTGTCTCTACTCATAGAGCTAAAATTAATGCTCTACTCCAGTAACTACATGAGCATAGGTGTCTAGTATTTTCATTTCCTCAAATTAATAAATAAACTGTACTAAAATTATAGGCAATTTAAAATTTGTATGGGAAGTGAGCAGTACAAGCATGTTGACTTTTCATGATGTATTAAAAAAAGAACAAAATGGGCATATAAATGAAATTATATCTGCCATGAATCTTGATATGGATATATTGTTTAAGGCTTGATTTCAACTATTTATAAATAAAGGCTCTATTACTGTATAAAATTAAATTGATGAATCTAGCAGATCATAATGATTTTACTTATATGGTTTTCATGTTGCAAAGAAGTTGTCACTTTGAATAAAGAAGCATTATTGTTGGCTCCAGAGTGTTGGAAACAGATTTGTTATCTAATATATTACAACTGAAGATCTGCTTTTTACAGGACACTAACAAGTGCTGGTAAAGACCTACAAGATAATTTTCTGATGGCCCTGGCAATGAGAGAAGAAGACAATCGCAATGGAAAACTGAATGTAAGTACATTTCACCTAATAGCTTAAAATGTATACACTAAAGGCACAATTAACATTAAAAATATAACATTAAATATCTTTCTTAAAGTAATTTGTAAGATGTAAAATATGGTTCCTCTTTATTAATTATATATTATAGGAATAAATATTAAAAGTCAAAAATTCTCGTTTACATCTCTAGAAGTAGCCAAATGGTTAAAAAGAAAAAGATTCTAAACATTCATTGCAAGGAAAATGCCTTTGCATGGCAGAATGGTTCTTTAACCTAGGTAAAGCCTCCACCTTCTTTTAAACTTAACCTTTTTACACTCTCTCAAGTTGCATCACCAACTGACCCCAAGTTTTGTCCCCTGATTTTACGTGACTCCTAGAATATAGTACCATAGTCTGCCTTCTAGTCCTACCTTGGAAGATGTGATAGAAATCATATAATAGAAGAATATGTGTTATCATTATTATTTTGAATGATCCAAGGAGAATATGCTTTTAGTTTATGAAAATGTGTGCTATATCAAATATGTAGAGTATGCAAATATTATTTGGAATAAAGATTTACTTTCATGCTTTGTTAATATGATATTTGTGATAACAGTCTGTGTAAGTCTTAACATATTCCAAATAAAATTTAATAGAAAAGGCAAATATTCGTGCTAAAAGTGTAGTAAGTGACTGACTTACAGAAAAATAATCAGAAATACTGTGATAAAAAATATTTAGAGCAACAGAACAATACATATATAAGGACATCTATTCTACTAATACTTTCTCAAAAAAAAGTTGGAGTTTTTCTCACTATCAGATCCACTGAAAATATCACATGCAGGCAAAACCCTCAGTGTACTTCAGAGAGAGAAAAAAATCATACCATGTTTAGTTAATAGAATAGAATTAGCCCGGACTTAAAATAAGGGAACATTTCTTGTAGGAAGTAGGTTGACAGAGGTTTTAAAAGGGTGGGGATGGAAACATGGGCAGAGACTAGACTTTGGACAGCCTTAGTAATCACAACAGAAAAGTCTGGAATTTATCTGAGTGTTAGTACAGCAGCTAGAGAGGTTTGAGGAAAGGCAGGAAAAAGTGGTGTCAAAGAACCTGTTAAGGACGTCCAAGAAGGAGCAAATGATTATCAGTGGTCAAACAAGATAAGGACTGAAAAACCATCCATTGTGTTTGCCTGTAGATTATTATTTTCTTTTAATTTGTCAAGAACAAATTCCACCCACAGTAAAGGTAGAAAACAAATTCCGTAAGGTTGAAAAAAATGGTCCACGATTAAATAGTAGGACCAGCAAGCACAGACAGCTTTAGAGACCCAGAGTCTGTGATTTGAACCACAACGATATGCTTCTTTTCAAACACATCTTCATTATCTTGTTCTTCCATTGTTATCTCCTTTGATGATGAGTTACAGCACTAACCACCAACTTACTCAGACCATAAGCATGCCAGTTACGACTCTTTCTCTCACCCATGTTGAATAAACTACCTACCACGTTCTCTTAAGTATAAGTCAAATCAATTTACTTTAATCATCCTAAGTATCGTTTACCTTGATTCAAGCCATTATTATATCTTAAAGAAATTAAAACAGGCTTCTAAATGATATACCTATATATGTTCTTGCTTAACGTCCATTCATTTTCCAGTCACCCAAAACATATTTCTTGTGCATTTGCACAAGGTTGGAATGGTTCTAGGCATTGGGAGCCTGAGGTGCTGCAGAGTTCATGACCTTAGCGGGTTTATATTTTACAGAGTGGAGATAGAAAGTAAGACAAGATAAAAGTAGAATAATTAAGTTCAGCTCTAGATGAATACTATAGAAAATATAATATTAATATTTAAATTAATATGCTCTTCCGTCATCTGTTTAGACAAAACATTGAAATTTATGCGCAATTTATGTACAAAAATATTTTTAAAATATTTTTATTTGTTGTACAGTGCTTCAAATGACAGGGACAATGAATGTTTTTCCCTAGTAATGTAGCTATTTAGCTTTATTTAAATATGAGCCGTTCATGTATGAAAATGTTTCTACCTCGCGCCTCATGTATTTTAGGTTTAAAAATTCTTAAAAGACTAAAATGAATAATTTTATTCTTTCTTTCTCAATTGTATGCAGATCTATTGTTTCCTGAGCAAGTGTAGCTTTCTGATTGCTCATGCTGTGAAGTTTTTCACACTACTACTACTACAGTGAAGCATTTATAAAGTGTATGCTTATGACAAGTGCTTGGCGCAGTACATTGTACTGGTCTGTTTTAGGATAGCCAACAACTCACATTAGAGGCAAATGACAGTAATCCAAACAGATGTAAAAAATTCAGAGACCTGAACTCATCGAATAAATATATGAGCTATTACGAATGCATTTTCTCAGAAATATCGTGGAAAATTAATAGAAATTAAATATTTAAATGAGGCTGAAACTAGGACATAATTTAATCTCCAGAATGTTGCAATAGAAATGGTAGAATTACACAGGATGCTTTAATGAAGATGTACATCTTGAGAGCATTTCATGTATATGTTAGAGACTAAGGAACATCTTAGAGGTCAAGATGTGGTAATTGAAAAATCTAGTTAGAAATTAGAGAGGTAAAATGGATTATTTTGAGACAATAATTTCCAATTTCTTTCAAGACTACTCTGAGGTATTTGCATAGCAGATCAATCTGTTTTATTTCCTTTCTTGTTGTCTATGATATAGTTATCTTACAGTTTTTCTACTTTCTTCTGACTTTTTAACTCAATCTCTTTCTTGGGCTGATCACCTTATACCTCTGGTTGACCTGTATCACTTCTACTATACACATTTTCCCTTAGTGAACCATCGAAACCCATGAGTTCACTGACTATGCTTCTTGCTACAAAAAAACAGAAACCTAGATCTTTTTTGTCTATCTATTAATTATGTTTTTTCAGTTAGTCATTAAACAAATAGTGATAAATGGCTCTATATGAGGCATCGTACTAACTGCTTGGGATACAATAGGTGGCAAGTGCTTATGGAGCTTACAGTTGTTTGGGGCAGAAAATGAATAATCAAATAATCATTATTTGTGTAGAAATAAAAGCAAAAATGCAATGTGACAGGTGCTATGGAGGAAAAACACAAAAAGCTCTGATTGTGTGTAAGTGGATAGAGGATGATCTAATCAGATTTTCAGACAGAAAACATCAGTGTACCTTTAGTATAGGGAATAAATTACAGAAAGGATAAAGCAGATGCCAGCAGATGCATTGCAAAATCAGATGAAAAGAAGAGAAATGATTTGAGAGCTGTTTAGAAGGCAAACTTGGCAGGATGCTGTGATAAGATATAGTTAAGGAAGGGGTAGAAAGAAAGGGGGTGGCCTTTGGAGATAGATAGATGGTGCTGCCACTCTGAGATGTAGTGCACTAAAAGATCAGAAATGGGGGAAAGAGATCGTGTGATTGATTTTGAACATACTGAATTTGAGTTGTTTTTGACAAAAGAATATGTGCAGATGTTAAGAAGCTGGAGAAAAAGATCTGAATTCTACTCCAAAATTTACCTCCATATTGCTATCCCTCAAATGCTCAATATTTACTCTATTACTAAGTTATTTGTTGTTCCTTTTCCACTTATCAGATCTCACATCCATTTGGTCACCAACCCTGGTCAATTTTACTTGGTAAATAATTCTCAAATAAATGTGGGAGAGAAGGCAATGAAGCCAAAGAGATTGGTAACAGACAGGTCTAAGGGCTCTGTTACTGTGCTCAGTAGCAAGGACAGTGTTACTGAGATGAAGGTGATGAATGTCCTTAAAAGAATGTATACACATGGTTAATGTGATCAGACATGCAATTTAAGAGTACACCGGCAGCAGTATATGGGGATAAGTGTGTCTCCATAGAGATGGGGAATGAGATATAAGGCAGGGAGGTCGACTGAGAGGCCATTGTAACAGTTCAGGCAATACATAATAGAAGGCTGAGATAAATAAATGACAAAATGAATGGGAAGAGAAAGATAGATTGAGTGATTACTTAGGAGATAAAATCTGCAAACCATGTGCTTGTTTTTATGTAAGAAATGGTGATTTGTGAGATTCAGTGGAGAGTGAGCAGCTGATGATAATTTTAATAATGGAAAGAAGTATAATCCTGGCTTTAGAGGATTTAGTATAGTTCAGTGATTAAAAAACAGAATTTTGAGGTAGACAGTAAGTAGACTGAAGTTCCAGACTCACTGCCTACCAAGTATTATGGATTGCAAAGGACATTACTGTATTTTCTAAGCCACAATTTCCTTCTCTGTAATGTGGGAATTAAAAGAGTACCTTCATCTTAATATTGATTATTGAAAATATAGATTAAACATTTGTCACACTGTATGATACATGACAACTATTTAATATATAATAAATTTTATAATAAAGGAGTGTTATAACTGCTAAAGCTATAATTGTGAATAAAATAGATATAGAAAATATGCCATACTTTTGCTCATAGTCTTTAAGGAAAACATTGATTAGATTTGAATTTCTCTTTAGAAAAGATAGTTGAAACAGTTCTTGAGACAATCAAGTTGCTTATAGATTTTATTAGAGATGTAAAGATTGCTGGTCATTGTAAGATATTATAGCCATCAGAATATTTTTTAAAGAAACACTGTAGTTTTTTTAGTGTTGTAGGAACCACTCTCCATTTTAACTTATACTCTGTCCAAACCACGTTACTATTTGTCAAAAACAAAGATTTTTGGGAGATAGGTCCTCCCTATAATGCTTCTAATGTAATAGGATTATGTAACTCTTTCTAGTGAACAAGCAACTAGGGGAGGAGATAATTATTTTTCAGATGGTAGTAAACTAAGAATCCCTGATTTGTTGAATGAAAAAAGTAAAAATAAAACATTTCCTTTCTAATCAAAGGCTCTTGAAGATAATAATGAGAGGTCACATGTCACATGCTGTTCTGGGTGGGAAAAGTGAGACCCATTGACACTTATTTTCCCACTGAATGTTGACTGTGTAAACAGTCACATGGGTGACTAGTTTTGACTTTGAAATATGCATTATTGAAACTAGTAAAAAAACATTCCCTACAGCTTTTCCTTTAGAGTCATTCAAAGAAACCACTGTACCTGGGTCAGGAAAACTTATGAATTAGGTGGTTCCTAATATACCCATTTCCTGTGTTGAAATCTCTATGAAACATAAGATTGTGTTGTATATGACCAATAACATTGTGCTGACATGATCTTTTCCCTCCTTGCTATTTTCCAACTTTTATAAAATGTTCCCTTTCAAGAAAATGAAGGTATTATACAGATGTTTATTTATGTTTTTAAAAGAATTCATGCTTGTCTACTAATAAACCCTTATGGAAATTATATGACTCACACAATCTTAC